AGTGTACGAAGTTTACGGGTTCGTGTTATTTTTGTGTTCTTAGCGTGCAGAACTTTGATGAAATGTGTTTTATGTGTGTTCGCAAAAGTGTTGTTTGGCCCTTTTTTTCCTAGTGACAACACATTGCCGCCCAACCCCACCGGCGAACCAAGAACCAGCAATCAGCTATCGCTATTGGATCGAGGAGGCAGCTCTCGCCCCTTTCGGCTCATTATTACTGCAATCTCTTCACTGAAAATTACAAGCCAATTCATGCTTCCCAACATTACAGGTTCGGCGTTCGGCACACACAAATCGCTAACCCGCCCGACGATTCCACAGAAGGGCTGTAGTGAAATTCCATTACATCCAGCCAAAGTGTTTGTCCCTATGCTCAAACCAAGACGGGGCCCATTCACAAGCAATGCGATGTAGGGCGATTGGTGTCCGTAACTGTCCCTAAAGAGCCCGCTCAAGAATGTCCACATCACCAAGTCCAAAGCCGATGCACAGGAGCACTTTGGAAAAGAAAAGACGAGAGAAGAAAAGAACAGAAAAGAATAGAAAAGAGCTTGGGAATCTGTCCCGAAAAGCAGTCAGCACCCACATCAGATCATAATCTCCACCCCCATGAACTGCCGTCCTGCTGATTGTCCCAAATGACTTTGATGCGGCGAACAAAGGTGGCCAGAACTGGAAGACTGCGGCGGACCACTGTTGACAACTCCCATGGAATGGCTTCCTCCAGCTCGTGGTGTAGCAGCGCTTGGCAGTGAGCTCGGATGTGATCGTACGCGGGACAGACCGAAAAGATGGGCCAAGAAGGGCTGTAGTCCTAATTGGGTGCTGCCCTGTTTGCCCGAATTCGAGGTGTAACCCGAATTCTCATGTCCTAATCATCTCCTAATTAGGAGGTCCTGCATGGGCTGCGGCCTTCTCGGGTTTCAAGTCCTTCCTAACTGCTGCTGCAGGAGGGCTCCTAATAGCCCCAACCCTCCCAACCTCTGCACTGACGCCTACGAAGGCGTGGATTCGGGCCGCTCGAGGTTCCACAATATTGCCACCCACGGTCCTTTTTTCCCTGGCATCCTGACTCGGCATGATTCGCGCTCCACATTCCTCCTGCTGACGTCGCCACCGTACTGCAACGGAAACTACACCCCCCCAGTAGCACAGCCCTTCAACTGAAAAAAACAGACCTCCTAGTACATTAGAACAGCACAGTTGGGGTCCCTGTCACTGCGGCTCGGACACCGCGCCCAAAGCCCACACCCGGTGCCTGAGACGCCGACACCGTTCCGCGTCGCCCCGCTGGGAGGGCCGAAGCTCGGCAACCGGGGCGGAGCCAAATCGCGCTCTCATACATCAACTGCTTCACCGATCTTCGGGTCTAAGATCTTCGTGCATCTTTCCTCCTTCTGCGGGATCCCAAAGGGGGGATTACGGTCGCCCCCGCCTCGAATCATGGCAGGACGGGGCGGCTGGCAGAGTCAGGGGGGTCGCGGCGGGCAGGCCGGCGGCCCGCCGTATCCCAGCGCGCGACCCTCCTTTCAAGGTAGGTCCATTTTGCGATCAAGCCCTCAGGAGGCGCGGCAAGGGATTTGTCTCGAGGTAGCCTGAAAAGGGGCGCCATTGATTTGGGATTCGTTTTCAGATGGATGGGCGGCTGGACCTCTGGGTGGGGCACTGGCACCCGTCCCTGGAGCGGCGAGCGGGCCTGCGCCAGGTGGGAGCGGATTGAAGGGAAGTTGATTGCCTACGTACGGTGTTACGACAAGGATATGCGTGTCACCATCCGTGCAAAACCCGCAACACTTGGCCCATCAAAACACATTGTGGTCACGTCCAGGACCGCCCATGTGTGACCCCACCATCCCCACAATCTTACAGGACAACTGGGATTGAAGGAAAGGGCGTCGGTTGGGGACAAGCGATTGGGTTGGAATCGCCTGATTTTGAAATCTCGGTGCCGATTTTGTCCCAAGGGGCAGACTAACTCCCTTGTGTGCCAAATCTGGGGAGGAGGGGATGCCGTCTGATTGGCGTGGTGGGTCGATGAGAGGGGTCCACTGGGAGGGAAAAATGGTGCAGTTGCGTGTGTAATAGCCACGAACATGGCTGGAGTACATTCGGGCCAAAAAGGGAAGAACGCTATGCAGAGTGCTGTGGGGTAGGCGAAGTGGCGCTTGGCGCGGTTTGTGCAGCACTGCGCGCTTCTCAGTACACATGATTCATATTCTGAGCATTTTGTCCATTTTTTCCCAGAGACTGTGACTGGCCTTTATCAGGTGGGCTTGGGGTCCCTCCTGGGATGGCATCCCTTGGCATTGCCTATTGCCCCTTCTTCTGAACGCTCTTTTGTGCCAAGCACTTTGAATTCCTTGTTGATTATTGGAGTAACTGCTGCTGTCTTGAAATCTAAACCAAGTATTTGCGACCGTGAACAGTATGGCATTCCTAAGTTGCTCCCATTGATGCATGCGTTCATGGTATTCATCCGTGCTTGGCTCTGTGAAGTTGGGATACCGAATGGAGGCTGCCAAATTGTGGCAATAAGCATGCGGTAGTCAAAGACCATATGCAGTGCTGGTTCGTGTGCCAGCATTTGCATGAGTACATGGCCACTCAGAGTTTTCTGCAAATTGCATATCACATATATGCTGGGACAACCCTGCTTTCCTTAACATCAAACATGTCATGGCACCACAAGATAGGCAAGCTGCCAATGACATGGTTGACGTGGTTGATCAAACTTGGCCCACTGAAACAACTGTTGCTCCACTGCTGCGCCATTTGATGCCTTGTCCATCGTGACCAGAACAGAAGGCCACAATTCCTCCCATGGCATGTGTGTTGAGAAGTCAAAAGCCATGCACTTCAGCACATTGAAACCCTTCCTGGCAACAAGTCTATTCGATGGCATCTAAAACTTGGCGGTTGCTTCCTCAGGAGGCCCAAGCTTGATGCAACCAGGAAATGCTTTCCAAGGGCCGCCAGGTGACAATGTGCCCTGGTCCTGTTCAAACAACTGCCATGCAGCATCAAACAACCACCATGCAGCATTACGTCTGAGCCATCTTGTTCGTTGTACAACGGGGGCTTGTAGCTCTCAGCAGTTGCAATGGTGCCCGTTGCCCCATTGTACTGACCTGTTTCTCATCCTGCTGTTATGGAAATCTTCAATGCTGTCACACTGCTGAGCTCCATCCCTGTTGTGACCTGTAGGATTTGTTGTCCTTGCTGCTGGGAGGCATCCTTTGATGTTTTGCCAAACCCAAATGCCATGTCCATTGCAATTTGCGCAGGTCCTGCGTTTGTGCCAGCTCGACCAGGATTCCCAAGACCACAGGGCCCCTCGTCTGGGCCCCTGCCAGGCCCCATGGCTCCAGGTAGGGCCCTATGTCCACATTGAACTGCCACTCCACCTCATGCCTGCCTGTGACCTTAAGGCCCAAAGGCAGCATGAGCAACTACTGATAAATTCAGTTGTCCACCAAAATCATCATGATCATTCCAGAATTGCCAGTGAGCGCTACTGCACCACCTTTCACTGTGAGGACACATTGGGAGTCTGCACATGTACTGTGGGCAGTGCCTGATATCTGCTTGTGGCTGCAAGGGCAGCGATTGGCCTGTTTCCAAGACAGGTGGGACAATGGATATTTGTTCTTCCCATGTCTGGGCAGACAGAAGTTGAGAATCCATATGTGCCCATACACTGCGGTCTGGCACTTCAGCAAGCCAAATGATACGATGCCTGCCTTTTGCCATGTGCAGTTCCCATGCAACAACATGGGACGTCAGTTCACTTCAGCCTTACACGCCCTGATTGCGTGCTCTTTGTGGCTGGGCAGGACCACGCCCCACAGCCCCCACTTTTGCATCGCCGCCCCAATTTTCTAAAGGCTTCTCTCCTGGCCAGCCTCCTGTGGCCCGTCCCCAGTTCCCTGGTGCTGCACCCGGGCCCCCCCCATCCCTCCAACAGGGGCCAAGGCCCGTTGCCTTGCCTGCCTCAGCTCCGGGGTACAGTGGGCCCCCAAGCGCGCCACCCATTGGTGGCACCCACCCATATCCCCCGCCAGGGTTGGCGGCACCGGGGCCTCTCGGTCAGCACCCTGGTGGTGGCTTTGCTGGCACTTCTGTGCCACCTCCACAGCCAGGGCCAATGGCATCTCTGCCCCAACCAGGCTATGGCCCATACCCAAACCAGGTCAACCAGGTCAGCAAACTCCTACTGATGTGTGTAATTGTTGCATTGTATTAACGCATTAAGGTGCAGGCAACTATCGCAATATCTAGAATTGTCATGATATCTACAACTGTCACGAACATGGTCGATTGCTGGCCTTCCTTCTTTTGGCACTGGCAGCTCTCTAGCCAAATGCCTGCTTGACAACGTGTTTTTGTGGTGGAGCATGGCTTGACCTCATGGGCCTTAGATAGATTCAGCAATGATTCGGAAACAAGTTTCAGTTTCTTAAGGCTCTGGTGCTTTAGGGCTTGGGAGGTATTTTGAGTCACCATTGCTCTTGGACAGGTTGAACATTCAGGAGCCCTTGCTAAAGCTCAGGGCCTTGGAGCTCAGGAACAGAATGCCGTTTTACCCCTTCTATTAGATTCCAATATTTGGTTCATTTCAACAGCACATGCAGTCAGTGGTTTTGTTCACAACAGCCTTACTGAGAATCAGAGGAAATAGAAGTGTGTAGGGCAAGTGGAAGGACGTCTAAAGGAGCAGGGAAAGAGCAGTTGGCATCGTACGAGGATTTTGGGTTCATGGTGTCCAGGATGCTACATTTGTTGGAGAGCATTACTAGGTTGTGGGGTCATAGCTCAGTTTTATAATTGCTGGGTTCGCATTTGTTGCACCAGGCCTTTGCGCCAGAATTGGCTACAATGATGGCACAGTACCTAAGGAAGAATATCAGAGGGATGCAAGGTGCATGGCAGCCTATTACTTGTGCCCTGATGCTGTCCCCTTTGCTGCCCTCTTGCAGGCCCTGTTAGACAAATTTGAGTCCATGAATCTCGGCCCATCTGCACCCGGCGCGAATGATGCCATCACAGATGCCTCCACCCTGCCGCGCCCGGTTGGCCCAGATGCGGCAACAGCCCTGGAGCCCTCAACCCCCCCTATGACAATGTGCTGCAACAGTGCATTCATCTGCCCAACTGTTTCCCGCTTCCCTCATACGGCAACGATGCGTACTCGCTTTGCACTGCCACTGGCAGCTGTCATCACACCTTTGGCTGAAGGGGAGGGTGTGCCAGAGGTGAAATTGATAAGCAGCGAGCACCAGGGTACTGCTGGGATCGTGCGGTGCAGGCGGTGCCGCACATACATCAACCCTTTTGTCAAATGGGTTGACGGGGGCAGGCGGTGGACGTGCAATATCTGTTTGGCGATGAACGATGTGCCTGCGGACTACTTTTGTACGCTGGATGCCGCAACAGGTCTGCGGCGGGATGTCGATCAACGTCTGGAGCTGTCACTGGGCAGTGTGGAGTATGTGGCACCAAAGGAGTACATGGTGAGGTGTGAGACCGCGTTGCACACATGGTCACATTATCTGACAATGTGGACTCATTTGCAGGCATTAAGGGGTCCCCAAGGGAACATGATCCTGGCAGAAAGTAAGGGCCTTTGAGGGTACTTAGGGTATCTGTCTCTACACCGTGCTGGCTCATTGGGTACCCTGATGAGCTCAGTGTGCAAAGCGTGACTTGATGTTGTGTTGCTGCATGCGTAATGCATGTAGTTTCTATGATATTGGGACATAGATCAGGCACTGATAGGAGCTTTCTGTGCCCTTCATCGCCTGCTTTGTTTGTCATGGCCTTGTGGACAAGTGCGGTCCACGGTAGTTCACAGCATACTAGTCCAGTTGAAGCTCTGGCCTTGCATCTTTTGAGCGATGTCGGCCGATCTTCATATACGCAGCTGTTTGTTGCCATTGTGGTTTTGTTCTTGTGGACCATCGAACAGCCTTCAAATCAATTAGGCCCAGAGTGGACCAATCCAGATTTGTAAGTCCCAGTTCAGGAGAAACCTCCAATGGCTGATTTACAACGTGCCCAAGGCTAACGATGCTAGAACCTGTTTCCATTCATTTGTGTCACATAGTCTGCATTCTCGCTGTGCTTTGTGTGTAGGTCAGAGGCCCCATGCCCGCCGTGTACTTCTTCCTCATCGATGTGTCCACACCCGCCGTGCATTCTGGACTCCTAGAAACATTGGCATCAACACTAGACTCAGTGCTGGACTCCCTCCCTGGAGATTCCAGGACAAGAATAGGCTTCATGACTTTTGACAGGTGAGTGGCAGCTTTGTGGGAATGGGCTACTCTCCCAGTTGCTTCTGCTGGAATCGCTGTTTTTTATCAGTATGATGTTGAGGCCCAGGGCATGGTAGCTACCAGCAGACCAGTGGGTAAGTGATTGGCAGCCATCTGTGCCTCGCTGCACAGTGAATGAAAAGTCCTCCTGCACACTTCATGAAATTCAGATTGTGAGCATTGTCGGAGATATGCCAACACCAGACCAAACACTCCCCAGTTCTTCAAGAATGCTGATTTGCAGAAAATGGTTCATGCTTGCGTGCGAGTTGACAAAAACACCCGCTTTTCCACTGTTTGGGCAAAGTTGGCTGCCGAGATCTTAACTGGGACATCACAGTCCACATGCTGCCGTGATGATCCCAAACTCAGTATAGGAAGGAATCGAACATGCCACTGTCCATGTTGTTTCCAACCAGGTCCGTAGTTGTTGCAGCAGAAGCTTCCCAAATTATGCCCCCACCCCTCTATGAACTCTGCACACTCACAATCTGCCACCATACCATGCCTTGATAATCCTGTTTTTGGGGAGTTCCATTTGTAGCGATGAAACAGTGCCATAGCATTTCTGTTGATGCTTGGTTGCTTTGACACTTAGTGTACCCAAACACAAATCATCTGAAATTTTGGCAGGAAAACAACAGAGTTTATGTATTGTTGCCAATTACACAGTGGTACAATAGTTTGATAGCTTATTGGTAGGTCACTGGACAGGGGGTGTGGCCAGCACCTCTGCAGTGTTTGGTCACAGCTGAATACTATCCATCAAAAAGCCACAGCAGGGCAAGTTGACCAAGTGCGCAAGGTTTACATTCCTTGACAAGGGCCATTGCATCTCAGCGACGATGCCTGACATGCTTAATGTGCCCATCTGCGCAGAACCCTCCACTTCTACAACTTGAAGTCGTCCCTGTCCCAGCCTCAAATGATGGTAGTCCCAGATGTGGACGAGCCCTTTGTCCCAATGCCAGATGACCTGCTCGTGAACCTGAAGGACTCAAAGACCGTTGTGAGAGCACTCCTGGAGTCGTTGAAAACTCAATTCACTGAGCGCAGCTGTGCAGAGTGTGCGATGGGGCCTGCTTTGCAGGTGAGATTCCCCTGATTGCTTTGGAGCACACTGGGAAATACACTGTCCAGGCACTTTCCAAGCGATGGCAGACATGGCCAAGTTGGGAAAGTTTTCTGGGTGCCCTACCTGTTTGCATCGCCACAATCAGACAACTGGATTCGTAAGTACCATGCAATCTGTTGCAGCAAAGAGAAACACGGCACTCTGTAGGGAATCAGCAACAGTTCTAGCAAACTCTGTGCCTGTTTTTGCCTTTGGTGTGCAAGGGCAGCATGTTGTCCCTTCCTGTCAAAGGCAGTCCAAAGATGCCAACAGACCATACTCCATTCGTGCGCATCTTGCTCCAATGGTGTTCTGAATGTTAGGAGACATGACAGATGCTGTCAAATTCAACAGCGGGAAGAGTCTGGGTCTCGGTCCATTGTATGAAGGCTGTTTCATTGACGAAACAGCACATGTGACAAACTGCCACGCCCCTTCTGAACCGAATTTCCTGACACTGGTTGCCTTGGTGCAGAAGATGCTGCAGAAGTCCCCATGGGCGAATACTAATGGCACACAACACGGGGCAGTTCAAATAGCGGACCACACAGTATAGGTCCCTCCATGCGAACTAACAGAGATGGCACACCATCTTTCACATTCATGGTTTTTTGGAACAGCCAGGGGTCTTGCCACAGTACTTGGCTGTTTGCTGACCATATTTGCTAGAACCCACATGTCCTTTGGAGGCACAAAGTGTAACACATGGGAAGAACCAATTTGGGCAGGTGGGAAGCCCATTGTGGTTGCAAGCCCAATGTGCAGCAGGGCCATTTTCAGCGATCTGTCACATGTTGACACTGTATTTCTGAAAGAGTTAAGACTTGTTGGATCTGCTCATCAGCAACAGCAGCCAAACCAACAGTTTCTGAGTTTGGGTCGACTTGTCAGGCATTGCTGTTCTGTTTCGATGCTGGATGAAATTCTCTGTTTGAGTCGACTTGTCAAACGTTGTTGGTCTTGCTTGAATGCTGGACATGCATTCAAGTGGTTATTGCAAAAAGCACATCGATTTCACTAATGTTGTCAATGCTGGATGCCATTACACTGTTGTAATGGTAGCCTTTGTCTCACTGGTAGGTCAGAGACAGCATTTGTGGCATGCAGCCAAAGTGGCGAACAGGTGCCTCCTGGAAGCCCTCCACCACTCTATTCACAAGACTGCAAATAGCCGATGTGGATATGGTACATACAGCATTCACAAAAAATTACACAAAATTGTCCCGCGTGTTGTGGAAGATTCAATGCTGATGGTTATCCTGTGGTGATGCGGTGGACAAGCGCCGTTCGTAGATGCTTGTTTGTTTGCTGATGCCTGCAAGAGTGCGTCTCTGAGACTCTCAAGAAATGCATATGTGATTGCTTGACCAGGCGGCATTTATGGTGATGAGCCACATCGGTGGCAAGCTGCTGTTGTTCCTTTCAAGCCCTCCCACTCTTGGAATCGGCAGGCTGAGGGCACAACGAGACAATGCGGCACTGTATGGCTCCGATCGAGAGCACCTCTTGCGAACGCCAGAGGATAAATTCTTCAAAGACTTTGCAGCGGAAGCCAGCCGTGTTCAGATCACCATTGACCTCTTTGTCTTTCACCCAACCTTCATTGACCTGGCTTCACTGTCGGCACTTCCCAGATACACTGGCGGCCAGGTGAGCCAGGGAGATGGTGGATGTGATTTCGTTTGCAAACAAAATGGTAAACATTGATCCTGAGCTGTTATGGGTGGAGGAACATGTTACTGTGTACATTGTTTGGTAATTGTTTAACCTGTCTGTCTGCGTGCTTGTCCACCTGGCTAAATGAGCCAGGCAAAGACTGGCCAGCAAAGGCTGAATGGTAAGCAGGTTGGTGGCCTGTGCAGGCACATTTCAATGCAACTGTGCCAATACAATTCCAGCATCTGGCACTTGAGTGGCGTACGGGGAACTCTGTGTACTGTATTTGTTACTGGATTCGATCATGTGCTGCACAGTATGCAGGCACACCTATTTCCTTCAGGAGCCTAAATGGCACATAGGCAGCATTGTGGTGTTTGTCCATACTTTGCGCATGCTCGCATTTGAATGGTGCGGCCCCATGTTTGTATTGCTGATCAACGATGGTACAGATGGAAGCTCGATGATTAGCAGGTTTGTGGGGCGTATCGTAAAGCCAACAGTGGTGTGCTGGGCAGTACATTGTTAGGCAAGATGCGACAGACAAGTCGCGTAGACCTTCACACTTTTTTTTGTTGTGCTTTTGATACTGTTCATTTGTTCGACCCAAAGTATCTCTATGTGAGAAGGATCTCAAGCGCTGAAGGGCATGTTTATTGTAAGAGCATTTGATAGACCATAAGAGTATGAACACTTGGCAGCACAGCAGTGTGTGCTCCCTGCAAATCGCTCCTTCAAGATGTGCAAGTGTGTGTGTGGAGATGAATGTCTTCTCAGACCACCATGTGGCTGTGTGACCTGGAAATCGCATACAAGAGGCATGCATGCTGGAATGTGAGCTCAACTTTGATGAAGAAAGGAAGGTTTCGTCTGTGTGCCCAATCAGATGACACTGCTGATCGCTTGCATTTGTTCGCAACATGGGCCAAGGTGATGCGTTTTTTGGGTTAGTTCCACATGTATCACACTATGATACGAACTGAGGAGCTCCAACAAATTAAGTTGATGGGTTGGAACAAGTGTGCGAGGGCCACAGACCAAAATTGTAGTGCGGACAACATGTGCACAGCTCAGCACTCCACCTGACCATACTGCACCAAATTCACCCTGTTCAGTTCAAAATCCAATGGCTAATAGCGCTGTGGCCAACTGGCCCAGGTGTACTACTACCCCGGTTTCCACTGTCAGCGGGATGCGACAAAGCTGCAGGCAGAGCTGTCGTGGAACTTGAAGAGAACGACAGCTTGGGAGGCTGTGATGAGGATTCGCTGTAGCAAGGGGCTGAGGATCATCGGCTTCACCGGCCATTTCTTCATACGCTCCTCTGACCTTCTGGCACTACCGACTGTGGATCCAGACAAGTCGTTTGCTATCCACCTGACACACGAGGACAGCGTGCTGGAGTCGCAGACTGTCTACTTGCAATGTGCCCTTCTGTATACTTCATCTTGTGGGCAAAGAAGGATACGGTAGGTTCTCTCCTCTCGTGTCCCTTCTGTTCTTTCCATTCATTGGAAAGGAATTCAGGTTCGATCTGTCCTATGCACCGTTGCTCAGGTCAGTCCCGTTATCGAAACTGTTGTCTGTGGGGAAGTTGTGTACTCTCTCAGACCTTGCATGATAACGTGCGCTGGCACTACGACTTTTGACAGCTTTTCTGTGCCTTGGGGTCCTCGCTCTCTGCACGGCTTGAGAGCTCGCTTGCTGCACCTCAGTTGGTGAAACCGGGTTGTTCCTGGCACAGGGTCCACACCCTCGCAGCGCCAGCCACAAGCGACCTGGGTGAGGTGTACAAGTCGGTGGACGCCGCGCAGGTGGCCACACTGCTGGCGAAGCTAGCCGTTGAAAAGAGCTACCACACGCGCCTCCATGAAGTGCGGACACTGGTGCAAGGAAAGCTCATCAGCAGCCTGAAGGAGTACAGGGCCCTGCACTCTGGCCATTTCCGCGGCGTTAACAAACTGATATATCCAGAGAGCTTCAAGCACATACACGTTTGGGTCCTGGGTCTCCTGAAGACAGCAGCGATAAGGTGCGTGTGAGGATGGGAACGAGGTTTCGCTCACTGTTTGAAGGAATATTTGGCAATAAGATGAGTTGAACGGTTTGTTGGTGGGCGCAATGTATGACCATTGGCCGCAACTCTGCGTCTGGCTTTCTGCAGCGAATTCCGGTGCAGTTCTGGCAAGGCTGTGCCAACACAAATATGTTTTACCTTTATTTTGATAAATGCTTTTAGGAGTATGGAATCCTCATCACGACACTGAGCTGACAGCAGGCTTGCTGACGATCGACTGCAAGTTTGTATTTGTTGTTTGATTGGTTATTATATTCTTATCTATGTTCATGCTTGGCTCTGTGCTTATGCTGCCAGTTTTGATAGCAAATGCAGGTTTACAACAAGTCTAGGTTTTGAAACATCGTCAACACTGCTGCACTCCTTTAAAACGCACTCCCAACCTGCTTTGCTTCATTCTTGCTATTGTCGGAGCTGTGAAAGGCTCCAGTCCTGCTGGCATCTAAGCTACGCAGCAATGGGGGAAAATTGAATATTGAATCACATTTCAAATTGCCAAATGGAATGGGTCTTCAGGCCCCAAATATCTTCATAATGGATGGCCTGCTGGGCTGCTGGCACAAAGGGGATGTTGCTGCAGCCCGTTCCAAACGGCTGTGCAGTAGTGCTTCAGTACTAATATAGTCTTCTCCTTCCCCCCTCAACTGAATTTGGCCTTTCTGAAGTCACCTCCAGAAACGACAGACAGTACTGCGATGTTTGATAGGTGTTGTCTGATGCCTGAATCACTGCAGGCCTGCAGTATGGACAGCTGAAGCTGTGGATGCTGTATGCCTGAACATGAACCGACAGCAGCCGGCCACACCTTGCCCAACTCTTGCGCATCCTTTCGATGTGATGGAACTGTGATATTGTCAGTCCATCTGCATGTTGTGTGGTTTACATGGTGGCTACAAGGTGGCATATGCTGTTGAGCTTTGCGTTTGCTTTTGAGTTGAGGGAGGCTTTCCATTGCCTCTGGCAATTGGCATCCTCTGGGATTTAAGCAGCAGCACATACACGTAGAGGTTAGTCAGCTGGGTAAAAGCGCCTGCCTTATCATGTTTTGGCAAGTATGTAACGAATGGAATATGACGCACATACCGCAGATCACGGAGGGTAGTGCGGGGGGTGTTGAATGGCACAGGGGCCCTTAGATAATGCCCCCTGCGTTATCAAACATGGGCACTGCTGCACAGTGCGGGCGGTATGCAGCTCCCATGATGATACACCCTCGTTCACCACCAAACGATGCAGCGCTGAAATGCAGGAAATCGCGCAACTGTTATGGTGACGTCCTCCCACTCTTGCTGTGATTGGCGCCCTAATTTAGACTGGTATTCAATGCGCTAGATTGGTCTTGCGGTCAGTGTGGCAGCGTCGGGGCTGTTGTTGATTCATCGACTTGATGCAGACCGCGGGGGGCAAGTAAGATAGTGCGGGGGCATGCAACATATTCCCCCTGCGTTTTTGACACCGGGCCTGATGCTCAGCGAGGCGGGGGGCGCTATCCTCCTTGATCCATGGTATACATTTAGCACTGCAAAGTAGAAAAGGCTCAGAGCATTCTTGCTAAGAGGGGTTTCTCTAATGCGTGACGCGTTTCCTTCGTTGTGTTAGAACTAGAAAGTTTCGTGCTAAACTGCATCCCAGCACACGTGCATATCCTCGGGGTGGGCAGTGATACTTCAGCATGGGCACTGTTGGTGCATTTTGCATAGTTCCACGGCGTGCGTCCATGCGCCTGTCAGATGTGCGTCAGACGAAGAACAACAATTGCACACGTACACATGTGCACACGTTCGATGCAGCTCTGATGCACAGGTTATTTCTTGCCCTCTCCCAGGGGAGGTGCTGATGATGTCAACGCAGATGAGCGAGTGGCGGTTGGCCTAGAGATTGTCAGCTGCACATTCAAGCAGGTGCTGCGGCTTCTGTATCCTTCACTTTTCCAGTTGCATGATTTGAGGTTGGACTGGGGCCAGAAAGACGCTGATGGGAAGGTGAGGCGGAGGCTGCCTGGTGTGATTGTTGTGTGTGCATCCCAGCCAGAATTCGTTTAGTCTGGTCTTTTTACAGCACTGATTTATTTGTTGCTTGTGACGTTCAATGCTGGAGCCCAAGCACTCGCCCAATGCATGCCTCCCACATGTCTTGCAGCACAGTGCAGGATCCCCTGCATCACGCAAATCCACCTTGGTAAGCGATGCCAGCCATGAATGTTGGCCTCATTCCCACAACGCAGCCTTGGCATTTACAATCAGCTGGTCAACTGCCGCACATGATATGAGCAAGGCCGTGGCGAATTTGCAATGTTCAAGCTGTTGCACTGAAAACTGCAGACTGCTCTAGGCCAAGGGTCCACAGACACAACAGGAAGGCACTGACCAGTGTGCCTGTCGTTTGCCTTGTCTGCAGGTCAAATTGCCTCCGACTGTCGCTCTGTCGAAGGAACATTTACGACCTGACGGGGCATACCTGCTCGACAACGGGAGGGTATTCGTCCTGTGGCTGGGCCAAGCCCTGCCACGGGAATATGTTTCAAGCCTCTTTGGCATGGACCCCTCCACTTCCCCCGGTGACTACTCCAGTATGGCAGTTGAACCACCAAAGGACAACCCCGTGTCCCAGCGAGTGAATGCTGTGCTTCGCAGGTTGAGGGAAGGGCGGGGTGTGCATGCGCACTGTTATGTGGCGAGGCAGGGGTCGCAGACAGAGGCGCACATCGCACCGCTGTTTGTCGAGGACAGGACGCACAACACACATGGTTACCTGGATTTTGTGCACCATCTTCACAGGCAGATTGGCGCAAAACAATGACCAAGGGAGGGCTGGGGGAGGGGGCAGCGATTGCCTTGCTGCAGTTCCATTGAAAGACGACCCCGTCTGTTTGCATTTGCCAGAGCATGTGGACGTTAGCAGCAGCAGGGGCAGTGGACATAGATGCAGCGGGAGAATCAGTGAATGAACCAATTTGAGTGCGGGGGAGCCTTGGGGTCAGAAGTGCTGACCTCGTTCCCATGTGGTTGGCGAGCGTCGACGCTATTCTTTCTTCAAAGCAGAGACGACACGAAACGCGATTATTTGTTTGGTGAATCTTGTGTGCGGGTCGCAAAGTGCGAGCACTCTGTCCTAAATCGGGGCGCAGCGCATGAAACCGTCCATCACTTCCTGAATCAGGAAATGCACGCACAATGAGTGGTTGTGTTAAGCACGACGTTGATATCAGCGATCGCATTCTTTGCTTCAGAAGCACCAAGGAGGCACTCGATCCATAACTTTCACGCAGTCATCTTCCTGTGTCCATTATGGACAACTGATTCGCCATTCCAAACATCGCCCACCGTCAATCGAAGCATTTGATCCAAGGCAATGTGAAACTGGTCATGGGCAATCCCTAAACAGACACTCATCTGTGGAACAGGGCCCGCATTCCATGTGGGCATTTAGGCTGCACGGATCTCCCACATTCTTTCCCATTGCAGTTGGTTGACTTGAGGAGGCCCAGTTCTTTGTACCCTCCCAAGAAGAAGAAAAATGCACGAACTTTCCATTGTTCCTAAGAGATGCTTGGATGGTAAGGGATATGGATAACACCAAAGCCCAACGTGCATCACACTGTACATTTTGACAAAATCGGTCCACATTGGGGCCGCTTCTAACTACATGCATGATACAGACAACTGCATTTGCACCATACTTTTCTGGTTGCGTGATTTGTCTGCACCCACTACCTACTGCCCGCCAATCCGCCTCTCCGATCCCCATACAGGTTGTATAAGCTGCACTAGCGCGTTGTCTCTGCTGCTCTATCTCAATTCCACTGATCTGCTCGATCTCGTTACCGCCTTCCCCTCTGGATGGCAGGTTTGCCTGATCTCGTTCCACCGTCCGCTCTGGACACAGTTGGGTGCTGATATGTGCAAACACGCTGAAACACTTTGGCAGACCTGCCACGAGCAGGGGGCCCAACACTTGAAAGTTGTGATCCTGATGTCTGTTTTGCTCTGTTTCTTTTCCTTTTCACTGGTTTGTCTAGTTCTCCTGCCTTGCTCAATCTCTTGCCCCTCCCCTCCACCGCCCTCTTTTTGATCTCTTTCATTGTGTCCCCCTCGCCTTCTTTCCCCCAAAGTCGGCTATGAAGAGAAAACGTTGTTGCAATTTGGCGATTGTGTTGTGGGCAATAAGACGTGCGACGTTGGCAACGCTTCCAAGAAATATTCACCAACTGCTCATTTTCTTTGCATAACTCGCGGCCCTTCCACTCTTTTGGAACTTCCCTACCCTGCTTAGTCTCTACCGAGCCATCCCGTGTGGGCGCCACATTCCAATAACGTCATCAATGTTTTGTAATATCAAAAGCATTTTTAAAGAAACTTACAAGCTGTGCTTATTTAGTGCGTTTGCCCCTACCCTGTACCTCTTGTGGAGATTTTGTACAAACAATGTGTTTGAACACTTTTGCAGTGCCCTGCATTCGGAACTCGACGATGGGCAGCGTGCCTAGCACCTCAACATGCAAAGTGCTGAAATCTTGAGGGCAACAACTGTTTATTGGGGCATGAGGAAGATGCACTTAATAGAACGTGAACCACTTCAAATGATATGCTGGGGTAATAATTTAACATGCAACATATAGTGGTGGAAGGCTTGGTGACAATGATCGTCTCCTGCAAGGAATGTTCACATTTGGGCATATATAAGATGAAAAACCAGTGATTGTGGTCGTGATGTTTATAGGGGTCTTCCTTTTAGGCATGCATACTTGTGGGCAAGAAGTGAACGTTCTACTATGGGTGATTTATCAATTGTATAAAAATGACCTAGAACTTTGACAAGAGCAATTATTTGCACCTATAAGAGAGTCCATTAACTAGTGGTATGAAAATTGAGAATCTTTGTTCCTCATGGTGTCTCATCCATTCTCACACGTCATCTAATGTAATGTTGCAGTGTTCACATTGTGTAACAGAAAATCGTGGCATAGTTTCCACCGAGGGAAGTGCAGCCATTGGCTCCTTGACAACAAGCAAGAAAAAAACCTATTGCTGAGCATAGCCAACAGATGGCAGAGTTTTGAAAGGACCACAATTTGGACATAATAGCAAAGTGTTAAATGGAGTTTGTGTGTGCATTGGGGTTCCATATCACCGACCGAAACATCCCATCTGTAGTAACCACAACTATCATTGCATCTGAAAGGGCACATATCAAGACTTGTTTAAGCAAACGTCCTTGTGGATATTCTCTACAACCAAGCAAGCGAATCCGCAAACATTATCTTCCCTGTGTTATTACTTTGAACGAACTAATATGATTGTCTGTGCTCGTGTCGTCAATACAAATTCTAAGATTTGGCACCATGTCCAGATCACCTCGACCAACCACAAACACACCCTTCAAGGTGCGTTTTGCTTTACAATCTCATGCCTAATGATTGCTATCATGCCTATTGGACAGTGAAAACCCCGATACCCAATAACAATAAACCATAAGGGACAATTGAGGATATCAGCAGAGTTTTGGTTGCCACATACATGCAAGAAATACAAACCTGCTAAGAGGAATCAAATTACTTAGTTTTGTTATACCCCCAAGAAGGTATTGTTAAAGTTCCCAGAAAAGGCACAATCAATGAAACAAATGAAGATTAACATATTGGGACAGGTCACTTGCTTCCAAGCTGAATAGACGTGAGACAGCACCACCAAGAATCCAACAACAAGGTCAAATGCCAGGAATTGGAACTGATGGAACTCCGTTCAGTGGCAGCCGCGTGGTGCCAATTGTATACCGGTAAATGTATTCCATTTACGCGGATAATGGGGTGGTACATCTGGTGGGCAGTCAGTTGCCTGCACCGTGCTGCCCCTCCTGCGCGCGTGATTTGACTGGGTGGATGCGGACGGCCTTTGAGAGTTCGCAAGTAAGCGCACAAGCCAACGACCGCAAGCTGCAACTATGCCCCAACGCGGCGGTCGGATTGGGCGGACGCCAGAGGTTGATGCGTTCCTTACCGAGGAAGCGGGAGCAAAGGGTCCCCCCGTGCAGCTCGGAGGGGCAATTGCTTTGGCGGATGTCGCGGAATTGGCGCGCCAAGTGGAATGCAATGAGCGGACGTTGCTGCTCCTTGAGTGCAAGATAGACGCCATTCTTAAGAAGCTCGAATCGGGCGAGTTGGGTGCGCGGGAGTTGGGCGGAAGCCCGGACCATGGGGGGCGGATGTCGCCAGCGACCCAGGCTGCTTCCGAGAATGTGATTGGGGAGTTGTACGAGGAGCTCCAGGAGGAGGGCGTCTGTGCGTAGCGGTCGGCCACGGCCGATGCCGCCTTGGCTGCACGGGTGGCCCTGGAAAATGTCCCCAAAGGGGGGGGGCCGACGTTAGGGCCGGTCGTTCGGAGGAATGGCGCAATGCGCCTCGATCAGAATTGGTCTCACCTAAGCGGCTCCTTGTCGCGCACGGAAGGGCCGTGCTCGAAAGCGGGCGCATCCCAAGGGAAGCAATGGGAGGGGTCGAGAACTTCACCAGAGCAAGAATAGTCAATAATGTTAGAATAGGTCGTGGGGCGTGGGACGTAATCGAACGTGAGCATTGGAGGCGCTCCACAACACACTTCTTGGTTGGACGATACATTGGCCTTGGTGCCAACAGAGGTTTTTTCCTGTACGATGAAGACCAACAAGTGTGAGTGTATGAGTTTGGTCCTCCTGGCCCCATTGACCGTTTTGTTAGACTCCCATTAGAAAGTGAAAAACAAACCGGTCTTGAGTACCGGAGGAGGTATTTGTAGGGGATTTGGGGTGAATTTGGATATGGTTATGTGGTAGTACTTAGGCAGCCAAATTGTACCGACGGCTGCCTGAACCAAGCGTTTTAAACCATGAGATAAGGTCTTAGCATATGGGAAAAGGCGCTGAAAATGGAAAGGTGTGCTGTGCAAAGAGGCGGAGGGATTACTAGGTTGTGATGAAGTAAACGGATGATAAACATTGTCAAGTGAAGTGGTGAGGTGTGTAAACTAGCTGAGCGGCTAGAAAACTCGTTGTACACTGCGAATTGGAGTGAAATTCACAATGGGAAGTGTCATGAGGTGATGGCAATGGGGGGTCACATTGTGACCAGCCGCAGGGGTATATAAACCGGCGGGTGGTACCATTTGGACAACACTCCACCCCCAAGCCTCCCAATCGCCCAGCGCCTCTAGCCCAAGACAGAAAACGGCAGATCAAGCAATCTATAGCCTGACCCAAAAGGCTGTCGGTCAGAATTGGACGGAATTGAGGAGGGGAAAGCGCTGAGTGAGGGCGGATTGGGGTTGTTTGACCGGCAAGTGGGAAGGGAGTGTTGAATATCGAGTGCATGGTGGTGGATCGGAACGGACAGAGTATTGCTGATTGTGGAGCTGTTGTAACTGCAGTGTGCCAATGCTTAAGAGTTGAGTGAGGTGGAAAAAGTGGCTGAGTGTACATTCCTTGTGCATTGGAGTGCTGGAAGTGTGATTTCTGATCAGAACCATCAGTGTAAAGTACTGGATGGTGAGGCATTGATATCAATCAAAGTGGATTCGAGTGTGAATGCCCGTTGAGTTGTTGTTGAAGCTGACTTTTGAAATGAGTAGAGCTCCGCAAGCTCAACGAGACCCCAAGGCGGTGAACTCAAAGAATACTCATCGCCATTCACCAATCACCCGTCAAAAAACCAAGAAATTGCGAAAAAGGGAAAGGGAAGACGAGGAAAACGCTGATTCCTCCGGAGGTTTTCCGTTCGTAAAAGGGACTACGACTGAGCGTATTTGGATAGAGCAGAGAGACCTTTCACC